AGTTGATATAGAAAGACTAACAACAAGTCTAATAAATCTGTCAATAAGAGGACATATCACTGATTTTCTTGTCTTCACTAAGTCTTGACATAACTCATGAATACCAGATAATTCTTGCAATTCATGATGATTTGGAATGTCGAACTCAAAATATTGAAGTTCTATTCTTAGACGTACTAGTTCTTGCTTTTAACAATTATGAATTGGGTATTTTTATTCTAATACATCACATTGGGTCAATTTACTATGGAACATCACATTATATGTTTAATTTTTGAAAGTTAAATAATTAGTACAATAAAAAATAAATAACTTTTTCTGAAGAAAAAAATTAATTCAAAGATGACTAATTCATATATATATATATATATATATATATATATATCTCAACTCTCATAATATAAACTAAAATTGTAAAAATTTAGGGGGGCCAATTTTATTTTACACACATATTTACATATTATGAATTAAAATTTTCAAAACTTAGGGGGGGCCATGGCCCCCCTCTGTCTCCCCTTGGCTCCATCATTGTATACACACACATATATATACATATATATATATATGTATATATATGTGTGTGTGTGTGTGTGGACTTTCAAAATATTATTCAAGTTTGGTTAGAAAAATTTTCTTAAATATTACTAGCATCACAATTATGATTTTCAATCAACTTTTTATCTTCCCATCAACTATTTTATCTCACATGCATTACATCATAAAAAGTATTATAGTAATTATTTTGAATAATATTTCAAATAATCTCCCTTCCAAACACTCGACACGAACATATTTGAGTATCTAATTTTCGTAAGAAATTTCTTAATGAACGTCAAACTCTCTAGTATTGTTGTATATGTCAAAATATATTATAATAACATCAAAGTTACAGATATCATTGAACCAATTGACAATTCTGTTTGGATTGCTATTTTTTGAAGTTTTTTTGTTGGTAAATATACTGTAACGATTTGATATCTATAAGGTTAAAAAGCGATTAGAAAATGTGCTCGTAGAAAACGTAAAAATTTTTTGGTAGAAAATTGCAATCCAAACACTTTTGCGACTAAAATGTGATTATGATAGATTAATCCAACGCATCCAATTTAATATACCTTTTGATACATCAACTAATACAAAGCATGCTACCATAAATTGTTAGGTTATTTATCTTCTAATGCTTTAGCTTGGTTATAATTCCAAACTGCAAGCCAAAATGTACCAGTAAGCATTTAACTTAAGAGATGATGCGCAAAGGTGACACAAAAGCTACGACGAAGGTGGGCGACTGACTTCCGTCGGCGAAAAGTCTTTAATCTTCATTCCTTTCACTTCACCCTTTTCTTCATCCTCTGATACTTAACTTTGCCGCTTAGCACCGACAATGGATTAAAGCTTTTGATAGCGATGTGCCAGCTCGTTTCACTTCACTCTTTTCTTCAGTTTGTTTGCTGTAGCTGACTGGCTTCTTCTACCATGGTCTAGATCACTAATCACCTTGTTACACTTCCAATCTTCATAGTTACTACAAAGGTAATGACTGTGATGCTTTTACTACGCAAACAAACACAATATCTATTGGATAATTTCAGAAACCTCTCTTGAGATTTCTAATGATTTCATTTAGTATGTTTGAGATTTTAAAAATTACATTTACCTCTCTTAGCCATTTAAAATGATAATACAAGCCTTAACATTATAGGGAAATTCCATTGTTTGCATTATACAAAGGATGGGTTTTATAATTTTTTTTCCTTTCTCATTCTTATTCATTTCTCTTATAATTTATCAGACAATCCAAAAAACTATCAATGTTATCCTCAACCTCTATGTTGATCAAACATCAAAGTAGTAACATTTTTTTTAAAAAACTTTTAATATCATCCAATTTTTTGAACTCTTTTTTTTTGTATCAAAATCAAGAATAAATCAACAATAACTGAAAAACAAAGGCATAAAATCACTATCAAACTATGGTAATTCTATCATTGAAATAGTCCACAAACTTAAAAAAAAAAAGACATTTTCTTCTCTATCTCAAAAAGAATCCATATTCTCAATAAAACACTATGAAAAGTAGCCGATTGTAGTGATAGATTTATTATTATAGTTAATTATCAAACAATAAATATTGGCATAAAAATTTTGACACTCATTCCATTTGTAATTGTGCCAAAATACTTTATAATTGTTCAGAAGAATAAAATAAGCTTTATAAAATAAGGGCATTTTAGGGTATTCATTGAATTTTCGATCCTATTTTAATGTTTGGTTACCAAAAATGTCCAATCAAAAAAGGTAAGTGTCATTTTTAAAACTTTGAGAAAGTTAAATGAAATAGTCAAAAACCTCACAGGAGGTTTCTCAAATTATCCCTTTATAAGAGTTCTAAGTTCTAACCTTAACAATAGATTGTGAGAGAAGTACCTTTATTTTAGTAATCTTTTTAGAATGAAATTTTACTACACATAATTTTTTTCACTAATAGATTTAGATGAATGACACTTCATTTTCATTCAAATTTACAATTCTTTCATTTTACATATAACATACACCTATATCTCTAGTACATATAAAAAAAAAGGCTTATTGTAACAATGTAATAAAGATTAATTTATACCTTTATTGTGAGCAATTATTTATCTTTTTCTTTAATTTTTTTAGTAAGAAATGAGCGAGATTTAAGAACCGGACAGGGAAAAGAGAATCTGAAACTAGGACCTCTAGATCATGAAGTTTCAATTTTAACTATTAGAGCAAAATCTCTTCCATATATGAGCAATTGTTTTTTCTACTTGTTACTAGATTTAGTTTTTTTCTACACTGACATTATATGTACTAACAAGTTTATATGTATATATATATACATATATTAAATATTTAAAACTTAAACTTCAAATTTAAATTGAAATTTGTTGTTATGCATCTAAACTCGCGATGTAAGAACGAAAGGCGAATCCTTCTTACTATCTGATGAACTTTGCAATTATCTTTTTTTGGAAGATACAGAAGTGAACCGCGTGCATCACCAGTCTATCCAACCTTATAGGGGAAATAGTGAGGGCAGTGGCATCTTTACCTCAAATCGCAAGCATAATGCATCAATGCTAATATACTAAACCAACCGTTTGGCATTCACCATCGAATGACAATGTCAATGTCAATGACAATAAAAAATTCGTCGATCACAATGGATTTTACCAAAACCTTTGCAGTTGTTTGGTATTGAGATTATAAGGAATGGATTTTTACATTTAAATTTTTTTCCTTCCCTTTTTAACTTCTTTTTCTTCTCCACAATTTCTTATTCTTCAACCAGCACCACCAATTGCAGCAGCACTGAGACTACTGCCGCTCCAATTGGTTTCGCAGTAGGAGATTTTCCCTAGGAGCTTTTGAATTTGATTCTTGGCAAGTTATATTTACTCCTCGGTTGCATGCAATTTGGAGCTGTAACTATATACAAGTCTTGCCATTCAATTTATCTTAACAAGAAATGCAGAGGTATAGCAACTATTTTCCAGGAACCTCACTTGCTCTTGATTCTCACCGCTGAAAAATGTAATTTGTACAGCAATTGTGAGCATTTTCCCCTCAGTTTGTTAATCTTCAAGCACCACCGTCAACTGGGGTGGCACCACCGTCAACTGCACCAAACAAATCAAGAGGCATGAAAATAGGATGGAACGGGGTAGAATGAAGAAAAGACGAAGAAACTGCTGGATCTCTTGCACTAGTGTTTTCTTGTTTTGATTTTTGTTTTGGCTCTCGCTAATGTAAAATTCAGGAATGGGATGAAAATGTCCAAATTGTTTGAGCAATACCAACTTTTGGATTGTCCGTAGTAATAGATACGTACCCACAGGTACCTACCAACACCATGTATCGGCTGCCAAAGCTCAAAGCCCATGGTAGAGCTGGGATGCCAGAAGAAGTTGAATTAATTCGTAAGCTGGAATCAATTTCTCATAAAAAGTGATAGTGATGTACCTGAATCTTGTTTTCGATGTAAAAACTGTGCTGATGGACAAGCGACTATAATTCCGAGACATTTGCAGAAAAGTTAAAACTGATGATGGAGAGGAATATTAACATAAGTTGAATGAATTGATAAGGACGGATCATTTTTCAAAAGCGAGAACTGTGTTGATAGACATGTGATTATGATTCCAAAGATATTCTGATATGTAGTGGTGACGAAAATCGATTTTACGTCATTTTTATTTATTAAAAAACAAAAATTGTGGAGAGGTGATTCCCCCAACCAAACACACATCTGGCAATATTTTTTTTTTCTTATTTTGGAAAACCTATTAGTAATACTAAACAAGATATGTCGTGGTCGTGGCATGAAGAAGCATGATCAAAACGGTTGAACCCATGTTGGAACACATGTTGTTTTTTTGCCAGCATGCAAAGCAAATTTGGAAGGCAACTCCCATCTGTTGGGACGGTCTCAACGTTTATAGGAACTAGGAGGTATAAAACGCGCGATGCGCGTAGGCGACTAAAGATAATATGCCCTGCCAAATATGCGAATTAAGGAAGTGATTGAATTTTGGTGCATTTTTCTTTTATCCAACATTGCATGCAAGTTCTTTTTTTTTTTTTTTTTTTTGTACATCAGTATGAATATGCATGGCAGTTGACAGAGAGAAAAATATCATTGAGCTATATAGATTAAGGTTGATAATCCAAAAGTCCATTAAACTTCAAGGCAATGCAAAGACTTCAAATCCATTGCATTACATGAATTTGGCAACGATGATGATAATGTACCTGGCTGCTGCACTGGATAGTAAAATCACAAACTATAAAGCGAGGTATTCTCTACATTTTCAGAAAACCTAATAACTTGCAGGTTGAAGCTTTGTAAGTTGGTGCTATATCTTTTTAGATTCATCACCCGTGGCTTCTGATGTAACCAAAGTTATGAACTAATCAAAATGCTATTCAGGCCTGTAGTCAAAATGGATAAAAAGCAGCCGCGTGTTTTTTTGTAACCAAAGTTAGCATGAACTTTATTGCTAAACATCAAAAGCTAATAAGTACATTCCGTTCAAACATCTACTATCAAAGCTTAACATCAAACTAAGGTAACCGAAGTACATTCATTATTAAAGCTTGATAAGTCCATTATCAAAGCTTGAAGCGATAAACAATAGTAACAACCTAGCTATTACATAATTTCTGTGCTTGAGTCCTCCAACAACTATAATTACATAATACACATTAACTAAAAAATATCCAACGAAACTGTACTCATAATCCAACGACATGCATGCCTAACACGGGACAGTAGATTCCTTCCTCTTTACTGCTTAGCCACATGAGCACTCAGTTCAGCATTCTGCAGCAAAAAAATCAGAAACATAATCATAAAATGCATAAGCACAAATAACCAATGAATTCCTAGTCTGTACACATTATTTATTCAGTCAAAAGCATTCAAAATCATTCAAGAAGAATAAGTGTAATCATTTAAAACAGCCCTTACACAAGTAACTTATAAAGATGCCTTGGTACACAACACACCGAAGTAAAAGTAACATCTTGCAGAAAGAACCAAACGCAGAAGAACATCATTTACAGGATATAAAACAGCATTTGTCAAAACCTGAAACAAAAAGAAATAACCAATGAATTCCTAGTCTGTACACACTGTATATAGTGAATGGATAGGTTTTGCTGGTTTAGACAATCAAATAATCAGAAATAAGAAAGAAAAACAGCCTAGATTCATAGTCTAATGGTCTCTAAAGAAGTTCACAAACAGATACAAATTTCGGAATCCAGCCCTCACAGCTTAAAGTAAGCAAGGGATTTACAAGCAACTGACTACATCAATGATAAATGATTTATGAGCACAACATTTTTTAATACCTTCAGCAAGGTACTTTTCTGACATTTTCATGAAGCTAATAACTCTAATTGGTCAATCAAAATACACCGTATAAGAAATTAAGATTCCACCTACCGCGCAGACTGTACAAATATACAGAGTGATATGAAGCCATCCAGTCTGAATCTTCCACTCCTCTTCTGATCAAAACTCTACAAATTACAATTGAAAAGGGAAAAATTAGGCAGAGCCCATAAAGCACAAGTAAACTCTAGGTAAAAATTAGTCAGAGCACATCAAATGCAAGTTGGCTCCGAACCCTCAGATCATTAAAACACAGATCATGATAAGTGTTCAGAAACTGGAGATTTAGATAACATGTCAAATCAGTTGAGTGTCAAAGTGTGAGATCATTAAGACACAAATCGGTTGAGTGTCAAATCATCGAAACACACACTGTTCAGATCATTAAAAAACACAAATCAGTTGAGCATCAGAGTACTTCAAAGGTAACAGGTTTGCTATATGCATATAAATCTTCACCATTCTAAGAGAAACTGGAGATTGTATATAAAATAGAAGGTAACATACATGAAGTTTGCTCAATCTCCATCTTAATTAACTTTTTTTGGGGGGGGGTGCAGTTCAGATCACCTCATGAGTAAATAAAAGAATATCACCAGAACTCAAACATTTATCCAATTGTATTGTGAAACTTACACCTAACAATCATAGTAAACAGTACTATAACCTTGTAGACATCGTCTGGAACAAGATATCCACGGCCCCTGCAGGTAAATAGATAAAATATCATGATTAGCCCTTGGGTCAGAGCATATAAGAGGAGGTACCTCAAACTGTGAAACTTAAACATTCATTTGACCCAATAACTCAACCTGAATACGTGCTATGCAAGATGTCAACATGACCGTATATCTTAGGCAGCAAAACAAATATGCTTCGATTGTTAGATGTTTTACATATAATAACACATGCAAGGATTTGACCTATCAGTACTGCATCAAATAAGTTACTTTTGCTAATATCTAATGATCAATCCTAATCGTGCATACTAAAACAACTACTTTGCTGAAAGATCAGTTAGTTTCGAGCTGACAAACTTTTTAGCTCTCATCAAGAATATTTGTAGAAGAAAATGTTAAAAAGAAATTCATTTGACAGTTCTGGCCAATTCCCAGCAACAATATATTATTTAGCCAAACAAACATTCCTCAAAAGAAAGCCTTTCAGCAATTTTTATACCATCCAAAGTTCAAAGGCAGCACAGAAAAAAATTAATAAGCAGCATGCAAGGAAAGGAATAATAGCCAAGAATGAAGGAAGATAAATTACAGATCTTCAAGGAAGCCATTGGAAACCCAAAAAAAATCAAATGAAAATTTTAGTTAACAGTTAGCAATAATAAAATAAAGCTGGAACTAAGGATAGACAATCTTTTCAAATGGAAAATCACCTCTCCAAGTCTGCAAAGGCTTGTTGAACCTACAATGTAAATCATAGAGTATAAATTTAGCCAGTGAATTCCTACTGCTTAGCCAATGAATTCCTAGTCTGTACACACACTATATAATTATTTAGAACTTGGCACAAACAAGTGATTGCAACCCAACAATTTAGGAAAAATTAATTAATTTTGTTATCAAAGTGGATAGAGGGACCATTAATTTTTTTTGAAAAATTTAATTAATTTTTTTTTCTCTGAAAAAAGAAATTTACAGGATATAAATAACCAATGAATTCCTAGTTTGTACACACTATCTATGGTTTCTCTGCTGAATGACAAGACTGCGATGCTTATTAGGCATTTTGAGCACTGTACATTGAACAAGAGTGAACATTGTCATCATGGAGCGGAAGACATTTCAAATTCAGTTAAGGAAAAATAATTGATACAGCTTTTTTTATTGCTTCCATCCCACACATAGACATAACCATCACAACCTCAAGTAGCAAATGTACCATAGCTACAAATTAAAATCAGTTTTGACACAGAACCTGGCAAAAAGCTAAAGGTATTCAATCAATAGATAATTGTAATAGATCCAACTCAATCATTCAACATATAATAAATCAAGAAAAGATAGGTCCACCAGTAATGATTCTTGGCATTGATTTTCCTTCTTAACAAAACCTGAAAAACACATAAAGGCCAAAGTTGCCAACTTCCAATAAATAACTGGTAAACAATAATCTCTTTGTTGTGGATAAATATATATGCAGCACTTAAATAAGATGAAATCCAATTTAATTCACGAAGTAGACAATGTCCCTTCCACCTCCAGGTTTCGGATGACATTCAAAAACATACCTACACATATAAACCCTCATGTAGTAGACAATTATCAAGGTCTACCTGTTTCAATCTCATTCAATTCTTGACATGAAAGAACTTCATTTTGCTGGAAAGGTATATCCAATCACATTTAAAAGCTGCTTTGATTGAATAACAGAACATGTTCATCAACTATATCAATTCATGTTGATACACTTAGTCTCAGGTTGGTACACTTAGGCGCAGGAAGTACATCATAAGTCAGCCTAGAGTAAAAAAGTGTATAATTTTTTCAACTTTTTTTTTTTTTTTGCTTTAACTGTTTCCTTTCTCTGTTTCCTCTAAGCAAGGACGGTTTGTCAGTCATTGTTATAATAATCCTTTTCTTATGATGACAGAAATTAGAGAAAGAAAAAAGAAATGAGTAATGAGCTTGTAGATATACGTTGGGAAAATGTTACCTAATTCTGCAAATTAAAAGAAAACCAGATAAAAAAATATATTTGGAGAAAAATCTTACAAGCAGTAATTTGAACTTCGACTGGCCATCACAACAATCATCTCCGCATTGTACACCTTGTTGTTGCTGAAAATTGCCTCAATCTACTCAAGGCATGACAAAATAATCAGGAAGCAATTAATTTTTAATATATTACAAATAACAAATAAAAAAATCCAATTACATATAATTTGAAACCGAGTTGTAGTCAACATATCTTTAACTTTTTCTTCAACGTTTCACAGAAGCAAATACTTCAAAATAATGCAGTAAGAGATGCCGAGGATAGTGAAGAGCTTGCAGCGGATTTCAAAGTGCTCCCAATGGCTGAGAGAGGATCCGGCGAGAATGAACCTGAACAGGAGGGAGGCAGAAGAGAAATCCTAGGACTGGTAGGAGAAGGGAAACCCATAATCCTGGGCGTAGAATAGAAGGAGCCGATAAAGGAGAGGGAGCCGGTGTAGTGGTGGAGGAGGAGGAGGAGTGAACGGATGAAAAAGCGGAAAAAGGAAAAAAATGGGAAAAACAGAAGAAAAAACGGTTAAAAAAAGCGGAGGAAGGCGAAGGGGGGGAATCCTAGGGCTGGTTGAGCAAAATAGATCTCTGATATTGGGTAGAGAAGAAGCCGATAGAAAAGGACACGGAGACAGTGTGTCGGCGGAGGAGGAGACAAGAAATAGAGGGACAGACTCTGAAGTTGCATCTAACCCTAGAGGAGAGAAGAGAAATAGAAATAACAGATAAGGAGAAGGAGACGGTGTGGCGGTGGAGAAGGAGGAGGAGGAGTGAACGGATGCAGAGACGAGAAAAGAAAAAGACGGGAAAACTAAAAAATAAGAAAACAGAAGAAGAAACGGTAGAGAACGAGCCGATATAGAAGAGGAGAGGAGAGGGAGACGATGCGGCGGCGGAGGAGGAAACAAAGTCTGAGAATGTATCTAACCCTAGAGGAAGAGGAAAAGAGAAATAGAGAGAATGACAACGAGAAGAGAGGAGAAGCCAGTGCAAGGTGCTAAACAAACGAGAACTAAAGGTCACGTGAGGACGACGATGGCACGCGCGGAACAGCACGAGGGCCGACGAAAACGAGGGTCGACGAAAACAAGAGCCTCAGACCAACTCGCTCTTATTCTATATATGTTGATAATTTTTGGCATTGGTGGACTACTTTGGTGGAGGCTAAGGCAAGAACGGAAGATAGGACCCATATTGAACTGATGGTTAATATACTGTGGCAAATTTAGAAATCTAGAAATCAAATTCAGTTTAATAATGATCGGAAATGTCCTGGAATTGTGGTGGGTAAGACTATGCAAGAGTGACGGGAATATGCTGAGGTATTCAATGAAGTGGATGGGCAGGAGTATGATGAACAGGAGGAAGTCTATGGAGCAGGGAAGTGGTCACCACCACCCCAACACTTCATTTGTCTGAACACTGATGCCGCGTTGAGTCATAAGGATGGCAAAATTGGCTAGGGTGTGGTAGCCAGATGTAGTAGGGGTAAGCTACTAGGAGCCTGGGCAGGGAGTGAACAAAGGTGTGGGGATCCTGCGGTGGAGGAAGCTCGAGCTATTAGGAAGGGTATGCCCATAGCCATGAAGAGTGGGTGGAGGGACATAATTATACAATCCGATTGTAAAAGTGTGGTTGAGAAGATCAAATTGGAAAGGGTGGAGGATCCTCAGGCCAGTGCTGTGTTATTTGACATCCTGCATCTGAAGAAAGAGTTTCGGAATTGCATTTTTTTTTTTGTCAAACGGAATGCCAATGTGGTGTCTCATTCTTTGGTAAGGTTTGCCTTAAACTTAGTTGTTGATATTGATTGGAGAAATTCTTTTCCTAGCTGGCTGCTTCGGTTAACCAACATTGATGTAGGAGCAGTTGCTCAAAGTGATGTAAACATTTTATGATTTGAGTGGAATCTGTTATCGGTTGGAAAAAAAAAAAAAACGGTTGAACCCCAGAAGCTGAGAAAACACAGAAAAGAGGCAAAACAGAGCCAGGTGTCGCGTGCAAGCAAGCCTCATCCACTCCACAATTGTTTGCTTTGCTGACACGTAAGCACTAAGTCTGTTACGGTTTCATCTCCCCAGGTGTCATTTTCCGTCACGCTACTAAATCCTTGTCACCGACCTACCTCAATCTATCCGTCACTCTCCTTGCTTTCCCCACCTCACCCTCTCTTCACCGTCCGATGAAAATCGGACGATCCAGATTCGTCAACCCATCTTAATCAAATAAGTCACGTCGCACAAAATCCCGCTCTCAAATGTTCTTTGCTTCCTCTGTTTGAACTTCCCACTCCCGCACACGAGCATCCCGTGAAAGCGACTTGCTCACGAGAATCAACGGCTCAGATTAAGAATCTCTTGATCAAGATCCAACGGCTGCAGATCTTTCATGAATGGTTGTTCGGAAAGTTAGTTCAGCAATATAAAATTCACGCATTCCATATTTTTTTTTTGGCAAAACAATTCATCGGTTTCCACTCTGAAATTTGGATAACTTTCTTCCTCGTTAAATTCCGGTAAGGTTTTACATTTTTTTAATCAATTAATTTTGTTCATGTTGTTACTTTCTTCCTCGTTATACTATATTGTGGTTTGAGGTTTATCGGATAATTATCTGGATTCTTTTTCCTTTTTTTTTATAGAATGTTTTTGGTTTGACGTTTGTGTATGTTATTAATGTTTGTGTTTGTTTGATTCTGTGGATGATATATATTTGACTAGGCTTTTGGGTTTTGCAATTTATTGAGTGTTGGTGAATTTTTCGCTCTTATTATTTTTGTGAGGAATATGAAGGGTTTATTATGGTTTTATCACTGACCTTTTTTTGCGATGTTTAAAATATTTTTATTTTATTATTTCTTCGAATATCTTTTGGTTGGATGCAGCCAGCTTATTTAGCTAGACTGAAACAGAAATTGTTGAAGTTTGAGAAATTGAAAGCTGATACTCGTGCCAAAAATGTATTATAGCTATGTCTTGATATTATGGTTTGATTTATTTATTTCTTTTGCATTTTTTTGGTTTTCAAAAATTTTTATCTGAATGATAACAAAGTTTTTCTTTTCTTTTCTTTTTTTATGAATTTTGTGTTGCATTTGTTTTTCAGTTTTCAAATATTTTTATCTGAATGATAACAAAAATTTTTTTTTTTTTTATTTTTTGCTTAAATTTTTCTTTCATGCAGCATGAGTTCTGTAAAAAGGAGGAGGTGAATTTTAACGAAGAAAATTGTTTTTTTTTTGAGGAAAACGATGGGAAATTAGTAAATTTTAAGATTGAAATGGACCTAATTGTGGTTTGATAGTATTTCTTTTCGTTGGAGAAATAATAAACTTGGTAGTACTAAATTCTTCTTTAAACACTCTGTAGAATATTATGAATGAGATGGTAATTTGGTGCACTTCTTGTAGGTCAAAATGGGGATCCGAATGAATGCTGTTACAGTTACTCTGTTCATTTCGTTGTTGCTGCTTCCTCTGGCGTTTTCCTCTTCAAATGATGGACTTGTTAGAATTGGATTGAAAAAAATTAAGTTTGATCAAAACAACCGCCTTGCTTCACGGCTTGAATCTAAGGATGGGGAGACTTTGAGGTCTTCAATTAGGAAATACCACTTTCGTGGTAAACTAGGGGACCCTGCTGACACCGACATTGTTGCACTAAAGAACTATATGGATGCTCAGTACTTTGGCGAGATTGGTATTGGGACACCCCCTCAGAAATTTACTGTAATCTTTGATACTGGCAGCTCTAATTTGTGGGTACCTTCATCAAAATGCTACTTCTCGGTGAGTTTGAAAAGTCCTGAAGGAGTGAAACAAGGCATATCAAGCAATTCTTATGCTGGTCTCCTTGAGGAGTCTATGGAAACTTTGATACTTGTGTATTTTGCTGCAGGTTCCATGTTTTTTCCATTCCAAATATAAGTCCAGCCAATCTAGCACTTACAAGAAGAATGGTTTGTTTTATTCCTTTAACCATTCTTTATGTTTGTATTATGAAGATATTGTGACGTTTTAATTTTGGAAAAAATGCAAATTCACTTCTTGACGGAGAACTTTGTAGAAAGTCATTTGCTCCAAAAGCACAATCCTGCATTCTTAACTTTTATTGAGCTGAAGTATATAATTTGCAGTTTAAGGCTTTGTTTAGGTTGAGAACATGCTAAATTATTAAATACATCAAATCCATGTCATGTGAATTACATGAGCTTGAATTGGATGAGTAGACTCTTTTTCATCCCACTTGGGCTCCAGGAAACCCATAAATGCAATTGGGAGAAAACCATTCTTTGAATAGCTTTAATCTGTCAAACTGGCATCTGGATCTAGGGTTCGTTTTTTAGGAGTTCAGTCTATACTGGTTTTTTGGCTTGTAATAGCTATATATGTGCTTATGCATTCTGAGTTGTGTTCTGGTTACGGAATATTAAGCCTGCCCTTGTTATTCTTAATACTTTTTCTCTCATTGTCTTTCCAGTGACTTTACATGGGTTAACTTTAGGGAGTTAAAAACCTTTGTGGTAGAACATGTAGAACCATTTAATAAGCAATTAAGGCTCAAATTTAAAGGAGAAAAATGGAAGACATCAGTGGAATGCTGGAGGAACACCAAAGCTTCAGTACAATATGCATGCTATCAGATTATTGATATTTACTGTTTTTGTTTTGTTATAGGGAAGTCTGCTGAGATTCACTATGGCACTGGAGCTATATCTGGATTCTTTAGTCAGGATAATGTCAAAGTTGGTGACCTAGTTGTGAAGGATCAGGTTGTTATGGTTTTTCTTGCTTGTGTTTGTCCTGCATTTTGGTTTAAGTTTTTATGACTAATTAGTTTGTTGACCCTATCAGGAGTTTATTGAAGCAACAAGGGAGCCTAGTGTTACTTTTCTAGTTGCCAAGTTTGATGGTATAATGGGACTTGGATTCCGTGAAATATCAGTTGGAAATGCTGTTCCAGTGTGGTAAGTTTTCATTATGTTCGAAAAAAAACTATATACATCTTTTCTGGTAATGAGGTTGCTTTACTTTTTTTTTCAATCAACAATATTGAGGATTGTTTTGAGCTTGATATCTTGAATCTTACTGATGTTATTACATGACAGGTATAACATGGTTAAGCAAGGTCTTGTCAAGGAGCCGGTGTTTTCCTTCTGGCTAAACCGGAAGACAGAAGAAGAAGAAGGGGGTGAGATTGTATTTGGTGGGGTTGACCCAAATCACTTCAAGGGAAAACACACTTATGTTCCAGTGACACAGAAAGGTTATTGGCAGGTTAGTTATCTGGATGGTATATTCTAGCTTGAAGTTGGTATACAACTTCTCATACTGATCCCATCTTTGTGGTGTGCTTTGCAGTTTGATATGGGGGATGTTCTAATAGAGGGTAAACCAACAGGTACGTATTCAGTGGCTTGTTGTATTACAGGTTGAGAAACCATTTGATGAGTCAACGGAAAAGCCATGATTGGAATTCTTATTTGTGTTTTTAAGTTTAGAACTGTTCTTAACTTTGCCATGATATTATTTGATATGAGTGTGATTAGGTTACTGCGAAGGTGGATGTTCTGCAATTGCAGACTCTGGAACTTCTCTGTTAGCTGGCCCAACGGTAGGTGGCAAAAGACTCTGAACTTGGTGCACTGTGATTATTGCTGCTTTTGTTAATTTTATTGGTTTGCCGTGGTCATACTCCTGTAGCCTCAAGAAAGTTGTCTTCGGCCAACTTGATACTATATCTTTGTTTTTTAGTATGCATTTGTTTGTGATACGTAGTACATAAGCTGTGAAGCTTTTGTGTAATATGAAGAGGTTTGTTAAGCTATTGTGCATTGCTAACTTTTGATCAATTTTGCCTTCTGCCATACGAACTCGCCGATTTATCTGCAGACTATTATCACGATGATAAATCATGCAATTGGAGCTTCTGGTATAGTTAGCCAAGAGTGCAAGGCTGTTGTGCAACAATATGGGCAGAAAATTGTGGACTTGCTTTTGGGAGAGGTACTTTGTAAACCTATAACAGATTTGCATTTCGATTCTTGGTTTTTCATTTCTCCCACTCTTTACTTTTCCTTTATTTGAACCTTCCTTTTGGTTTCATTGAGCAGTGTAAGATGCAAAATCATACAATGTTTTATC